AACCACATGGCTTGTATTCAAGTATGGGATTTATTCTGGAAGAATATTTAAAGGATTATGATAATCCAGGATGAGTTAAATTGGGCATTACTGGTATGTTTTTACCTGTTTTCTATCATACTACTTTCCTAAAACTTTCACAGACAAAGTAGGTAAATAATTTTCTCCTGGTTGTCAGAAGACCATCTGCTGTTTGAGACAAGTCTCCTAGATATTATTATCATTATAATTTTTCTATTTCCAGTTAGCAGTGTACTTCCTTTAATATGATGCTTTCTGCATAAACCATGGTTTCTGCAGATTTCCTAAGGTCATCTTGGTATTTTGTCTGCCTTTTCCTCTTCTTTAAGGGTGGGAGATTTTCTCTTACTGAGAGCGATACATTTCTACATTAGTACCTATTCATTTCCTTTTCATTTTCTCAGATAAAAACAATCAGAGCTCATCATTGCTGTCGTCATGGAGATTTCATGTCTCCAGAAGAAATCCAGTTGAGGAGTTTCTTTGTTAATCCCATACTGGACATTTAAGCTTTCTTGTTTGTATTCCAGCAGCCCAGGCAGGGAAGCCATTGACATTGATTACAATATGATTCATAACCCAGGGTGGGCAAGGGGAAGTGTGCGCAAAAGGAGCTGTCCTGGGGCACTGGAGCTGTGCATACAGTAGGTGCTCAGGCAGCAATTGGTGACTGGACAGAAGCAGCAGCCAGAGCTCTAACAACATGTCAGCATCTTGGCTGTCCACAGAATCATGAACTCAACACAGCCACTGCCAACCTCATTATCTTCCTGGGAAACCTGTCCTCCCCTACCTTTCCCATCAGAGCCCCACTGTCTGCTGAGCGGTCCTCATCCCGATTCTGTTCTCACCCCTCCGGTCTGAAGTCTTGACTTTCATTCTATTGATATCCACATTTCCGGGCATCCTCCTTTCTTTCTCCTCTTCCGGCCCTCGGTTCTTTGCTCTGGTTCAGGCTGCGGTCTCTTAGGGAACCATCCCTTCCCCTCCTGACAATTTTCTTGCTCTTCCCATTGCTGCTGGAACAGTAAGGGCACAGAGTCTGAAGCATATCTTTGCTAACAATGGTGAGATCGAAGAGTCTTCCTAATGTGCAAATCTGATCATGTTACTTCTGGGTTTAAAATCCTTCAGTGGCTCCTACTGCTTTTAAGATAAAAACCTAAACCCTTAGATCATTCAAAGGCTTTCAAGACCTCATCAACATCTTTTCCCATCGCTACCCATTTGTATCTTGTGGCCTGGGCATCCTGAGTGAGTGACCAGTGATGTTCTGGGCGATGCATCTATTCAGTGCAGCGGTTGAGAATGATCTCCGGCTCTGGCATCAGGTTGAATGTGGTCATGTTCCAGCTCCATCACAGAGCTCTACAACCTAGAAGGAGTTGCTTAAAGGCTCTCTGCCTCAGTTTCCTCATCTGTAAAATGGGCTTGATTGGAAGTATCACCTAATAAGGTTGTTGTGAGAATCCAATGTATGAATACATGTCAAGTCATTAAATCAGTACCTGGCATGTACAAATACTTCGTAGTTGTTATGCAGGTCTTATTATGAATGTGATTACTTTATACTTTGCTGCTTCCTTCTGTCTGGAATACCCTACTCTATCTTTAACCAATTCTACCCATCCTTTAAGTCTCAATTCCATTATCACAGCCTCTTGGAAACCAGCTTCTGCAGCTGTGTAATAGTAAAACCTTAAGTGGTAGAGTCAGAATGTATGACTTTAAATCCTCGTTCTGCTACTCACTCTTTTATTCTAGTCTAACTTCACTAAGCCTTGGTTTCCTTGTCTATAGAATTAGGATAATAAAATAATAATACCAATTATTTTGCTGTCATAAAAAGTAAGTTTGTAAAGATATACCTAACATGTACTGAACACTTCATTCATGCTAGGTATTGTTTTTTGTTAGCAGCCATTCATTCTTACCTTTTATCAAGAACAAATCACTGTATTATAATAATCTTTTTACTTGTTTTTCTTGGCACCTACATTGCGGGTTATATAAGTTCAAGGACAGGGTCTTTTTCATCATTTTATCTTGGCACTTGACACGTCAGCCAGTGGGATGGACAGGAATCCAGCTGTTGTGTCAATACATGTGACTATTTGTGTGCATAATTTAGGAGATGTTAGAGGATTATGAAGGTAGGAGAAGGAGATGTTGGGAAGGAAGGATGTTTTAGTGGGATGGGGGAGTGGAGCTGTTTTCCTTCTTTGGAAAGTACTGAAGAGCGGAGGTTAATTGCTGTTGCCCTATTTCATTTGGCACAAGGGTGACTGGTGATGGGAGAGGAAGCCTGTCTGAGAAGGGCTGGGACTCAACTGGAGACATGATGCATGCATTGTCAGTGGGATTTACTAACATCATACTGGTTCTTAAATAGAGTCATGCCAGTAAATATTTAACAACTGGTGCTCCAAGAACAACACAAAGCCCTGATGTATAGTGTTTGCTGGTTACTGTGGTGTAAATCCCCCCACCATGGCCACTCTCAAGCTGCCACTGCACTGTTATTAACCAACCTGCAAAATTCCTGAAATTGTACCAGTTCACCAGTGATGAGCTGGCCCCAGCATAGCACTGTATAAACTTCTGACTTCAGTGTTTCCATCTGTAACATGTGAATCCTATAATGTGAGCATCCTGTCTCCAAGTATAGCTGCCAGGGGGAGGTGGTCAAATGTGATGAAACGTGGAAATGTTAGTGTTTTAACAGCGCCGCATGCGCTCACCCTTACATCAAAACTCTCTTCCCATCCACTGGCTGTGTGTCATAAGGCCAGGATATGTGCCGATGATCTCTCAAAAAGCCGCCTGTCCAGAGTTCTGCTCAGAGCAGTATATTTTGTTTTATCCTCCCAATCGGGGCTATGCTTTCTGCAGCAGACTGACTCAATTAGCCTTTCATTCCAGAGTCCAATTGTGAGTCAATTCCGAGGTTGTTAAGCAAAATGAGTCTGGTGGCATTAGTCTCTCACTGAAGGACAGTAATCCTCATCACAGTGTTGTTCAGTTAATAGTCTGCTGGAGAGACTGTGAGAAACAGGAGATGTGGAGAAGGAGCGACCTTTTGTCTGTCTCTGGGGGACAAGCCGGGAGCATGGGACTGCCAGGTCAGAGAGCTGTTCAGCAGCCAGGTTGTGTGAAGAACCGGAGCCCCAGCTGCCTGAACCTGCAGTTGGCCTTTGCAAAGTTAGAAACCCAGTGCCACTAGATCATTAACTTTCATGACCAGGAAAATTCTTTTGAAATTAACACTCAATCCAAGCTGGATGCCATTGGTGCCAGTTGAGTAAGCCCGAGCCATCTTTAGGGATTTCCTCTGAAAAATAAATCCTTTAGCCAGGCTACAGAAAATAGGCAGGTTTTATATCTTTCAGTGTGTTCCATTAAAGTCAGGAAACACCAGCAAGGCACGGACCGTGGTTGCTACTCAGGCGCATACACATGCGCACACCCCAGCTACATTCGGAGGATTTTGCCAAGGCACTTAGCTTCAGCACATGGCCATTTGGGGAGCCTTATACAGGAGCTCTCTGAGGGAGTGTCAGGTGCTGTGCAAAGGAAATGAAGCAGACCTCCAGCATCTGCCCCGGGCATTCACCACAATGGAGTCAGGCCCCCAGAACATAGAGAGCACAGAAGATAGGCTCAGATAGGGAAGCTTGGGCAAGCCTCGTTTACAAGGATTCAAGGAGAGAACCCCACACAAACATGGCTTTGCAGCGTACTGTGGACTTGGATAATTTCATCAGGTCTTTGAATGCCCTTTCTAGTTAAAATTGCAGGAGATGGATGTGTAACGTGCTTCCTGTGGGCCTCTTAGAAACCTCTGTGATCCCTACACATCCTACCCATCTTGGTTCCACCCAACCAAGCTTGTTTATGTCATACACAGCGTGCCAAGAAAACACAGCCTCTTAGGTGGAAAGAAGTAAAACAGCTCTGGGTGTGTCGACATCCAATTCTGGGGTGAACTAAAGACAGAAGAAAACTGAGACAGCCTCCCATTGTCTCCCATAATTGCCAGATAATTTAAATTCTTGTGAAGTCCATTGTGTTCTTCCATAGAAACAGAGCAGTTGTCTGCAGAGATGACCTCAGAGGTGGCCCAGCTCTCATTCAGGATTTCTCCAACAATATCCTCTTCAGACTGAAAAACAGCCAGTTGGCCACAAAGAGCCCTCTTCTCCCCAGGCCAGCGTGTCTGCGGCTTCTGTCGCCTTCTGGGCCGCTGCATCTTCACTGCCACCCAGGGCTTCTGTGTGGACTGCGCCGGCCCCTGGAGAGATTCCAACGTGCAGGCAGCTGTTGCATCTTGCAGCGGCCTCTCCAGGCACAGCCTTGACCACAGGCCCACCCGCCCAGAGCAAGCCTCTCTGTCCCTCTTTCCTTCCCCTTCTGTTCCCCAAAGGCAGGCTCCTCCTCAGTGCCACTCGGCTGGAATAAATCACTACCCCTGGGCTGGTGGATGAGAGGTGACTTACAAGACAGAAACACACATTCTTAAAGCCAGTAGGAATTAGAGGAGCAGATGGGCTGTAGGATCCTATTTTGACGCCAGGGACATGTTTCTGTATAAAGTAAATATTTTCCCAGTGTGGATCTCCGGTGAGTGTGTGAAGAAGCATATTTCCTAAAGATGCAAATAAGTCTAGTCAGAAATAAATATTGAATGGAAACTTCAAAGCCTCTAGATTCCTCCAGTTATAGGCCCTGAAGACTTCTATCTGAATAAACAGAGACACACAGGTGAGCGAGGGCTGGGGAAAGGGACATTAGGTGGTTGAATGAGAAAGGATGCCAACAGTTTCTTAGCTCACATTTTCTATGTATTTTGTGTGTATGTGTGTGTGCGCGTGTGCAGAGAAAGGCATATCAACAAAGGAATAAAGAAAACATGTCTGTCCAGAGGCTTAGGATGTTTTAAAGCACATTTCCACCCCCCCACCCTTTTTTTCCTATTGTAGATCTCGCCTTGCGGATTTTTTTACCAACTGCCAGCCAGAGTCAAGGTCTGTCAGCAGCTGTCTAAAGGAAAACTACGCTGACTGCCTCCTCGCCTACTCCGGGCTTATTGGTAAGATCCGGGAGAAGCAGGATGGGAGAAGAGTGTGGTTTGCAAATACCTGTGTTCTTTCCATTGCACCCTGCTGATGTCTGCAGAAGTGAAAATCTCACAGTAACGTCTGGGCTGGGGTTTGGCTGTTAAATCCTTGAGGACATGCCTGTAAAAAAAAAAAAAAAGAAGAAGAAGAAAAGAAAAAAATGAGATAATGGATGCGCGAAAGGCAGAGGCAGGAAGCGGGGATTATTAAGGAGTGGGGAGGCTATGAGTGCTCAGATGGGCGAGGCGTCTCAGTTGGGAAACTGACCACGCAGAACAAAAGCAGAGAAAAAAGCGCTTGGTTATGGAAGAAGAAAGTGAGTCAAACAAAGTTAATTGAATTAGGGAACTTTGGAGAAAGAGAAGTCATTTAGGGTGGGGAAATCAAAAAGGCTGTTTCCCAGAAACAGCCCTTTGGAAATAAAAACCCTAAATACAGGGGCCCTGCTTACTGTTAATGTTCTTGGTAATTCAACTCCCAGTGCACAGAGGGTGATTTAGGCTAAATTTTTTTTCCTGAAAACAGACATAGCAGAAACAGTATTTTCTGTCTTTCAAGACCCAAGGCTTTAGAAGAACCATGTTCTCAGCATTCCGAGCAGTGTGGTTACACATGACCACCGTGAGAAACAGAAGGGAAGCAAACTTGGACCCCTGGATACCAGGGCTGTCAGGGGGAAAGGCAGGTGTCCCAGGTACCAGGGACAGCAGAAGCCTTGGTGGCAGGGCTCATCTCAACTGGCATTTGAGAAGGAACACAAAGTGAAGGCTATGGAAGGGTGAGGAAAATCACAGTTGTCAGAAGCACAATGGCTCAGCCAGGGTGTGTGTTCCTGCCGGCTGTCTGTGTCAGGGTCACACACGTCACCAGCAGGAAGAACCTACCCTGAGAATGACAGCACAGACTACATTCTTTGTCACCAGAGCATCTTCAGCAGGCAGCTTTGGGAAAATCAACAACAGTACTTAATGCAGGGATAGGACAGGTTCCTGGTACACTCTTTACTCCCAACTTTTTGGAAGGATACCTGCCCTGCTGTGGGTAATAGCTTTCCCCAGATTCCCAAGTATTTTCTATTTTTATTGATTGGGCCAATGAGTGTACCTTCCTTAAGCCAATACTCCAAACTTGCATTCACTCTCTCCTTTTCCTGAGTAAGTTAATCTCTACTAGGGATTACTTACCAACTATGGAATTGCAGAAATAACAAAAGTAGTCAAAGCATTCTCATTGTAAAAAGTGTTTTTAAAATACAGAGAAGCCCACAGAAGAAAATGTTGAGCATCTCCAACTCAACTCTAGCTGCATCTGGTAACAGTGTCTACATCTTATAGATGTAAGATGTAATAAGTGGTCAGTAATCCGCAGGATATATTTGGTTCGCAAACAGAAAAGCAATTTTTTTCCAAGCTCCTGTAAGTCAACGGATGTAGTCCCTGTTAACACTTAAGTCAGTGCCCTTCCCAGATGTACCTGCTCCTTAACCCCTTTAGGAGGGGCCAAGGCCAGGTACTGCCAGCATTTCCGTGAAGTTATTCCTAGACTTGGCAAACCCTTACACACCTAAGGATGGTGAATGGAGGGCCCAATGGCAGAGGCAATGCATTGCATAGACCAAAATGTCTTTTTCTCTTGGGTCTGGATCTCTTTCTCCAACTTCTTTCTGTACAAGTCTTATTCCTACTTCTTCCATATATGCCAGGGGTCCGCCGTGGCACCAGGCATATCCAATGGCCTTAACCTCCTCCCCTAGTGTTTAGGGTACCAGTTCCTTTCTCAATCAAAGTTAGGAGTTCCCTGTATGCAGTAGGTTAAAATGTTCATCCCAAGGTATCATGCGGTATTATTTAGTTTAAATCAGTAAAGAATATAGGGCAAAGACGGTATGCCCTTTACTCAGAGAAGTTTAGAACAAAATTATTTTTCTGTTTGTGATCCAAATACACCCTGCGGACTATTGACCACCTATTACTTCTTACATCCAGAAAATATATGAAAACAAAAGCCTTCTTGTCATCAGTGGGCATTGCCTGGTGTCAGCCACCCAGGAGAAGACAGTTGGTTTGGATTACGTATAAATGCTTTGTGTGTTTGCGCCAGTGTAGAACTCATCAGAAATATCATGACAAGATGTAGGCAGGAGGGACCACCCAGCATTTCTGTTAGCACCATTGAGAGTCCACAGGCAAGACTCTAGGGGCCCTTGGCTTAGAGAATTTCCATTGTTTGTTTCCAGTTTTTTTCACAATGTGGAAGACTTTATTTAGATCAGTTGAGAAGACCCCATATATACGTATATACATTCAGGGTGCGGGCTAACCACTAGGAAGCTTCTAGCTTCCCTATGTCACTCTAAAGAAACCATTTGCTTCTGGGAGAAGTGGACTCAAAGTCCTAAACAAAATTGTTTAAGATATGTAAACCAGCTGTATCTATTTATGAAGATTAATGACATTTTCAAGAAAATGCAAGGGATTTGGCAACTCATGCATTCTCTAAGTTAATTCTTTCCTACTCCACAGCATCCATACCATTTGTGCACAAAAGAATACCCTAAGTGCAGCTCAAGGAGTTCTGTTATAATTTTTAAAGTAAATGTGTAAATTATTTTATGTGCTCAAGATAAATTGCCGAGAAAATGCACTGCTTAACATAATTTCCCACTCAGCAAACACAATGTTTGTAATTATCCACGGTGCATCCGCCGTCAGAGGAATATTGGTTTCTTTTTAGGCTCTGGAAAAGTATCATGGTACACAATAAATTGACTTGTTTTTATTCTTTTAGGCACAGTCATGACCCCTAACTACATAGACTCCAGTAGCCTCAGTGTGGCCCCATGGTGTGACTGCAGCAACAGTGGGAACGACCTAGAAGAGTGCATGAAATTTTTGAATTTCTTCAAGGACAATACATGTCTTAGTGAGTTTGTAAAAAAAAAAGAAACAAATGAGGAAATGCGCTTTCTTCTCTGAGCTCCAGCTGTACCTCTTGTACCTTGTCCCTGTACCTCTTGTTTCTTGTGCCTGCTTCCTCTCTCTGTCTGTCTCTCTCTCTTTCCTCTTAGTCACTGATGGTAAATCCAGCTCCTTTTGTGGCCACCCCGTGTCATGCAGCAGGGAACCCAGCAAGTGATGAACTGGGTGCCTCTAAGACTGTGAATCCAAAGGCCTGAGAGAGCAAGAGATTCAAATAACTGAGGGTACATTATGTGGGAAAGAACGCTTCTACCCGCAGATCAAATTTTGATCTTGGCAGCCTGCGGAGAGTCTGTTCCAAAGGTTCTTGAAACCTGGGCGGAATATACAATGTGAGAAGCTCAGACAAATTAGATGGGGATAGGCCTCCAAGGACTCTCTGAGAAAAATTAGAATGTTAACATCAATAGCCCCTTGGATGCTCAGGGCTGGCTCAGAGGAGAAGCAACAATTCTTGAGTAGGATAAACTGGCGATGCAGGCAGGAGGCTCGGGATGCCCGTTATCTCTGGAGGTGAGATAAGCACTGGGGAGGAGGGAGGGGGCTCCTGCTTGAAAGCAGGATCAGTTCTTATTGCAATGTCCTTTAGGCAGTTTGGAAACATGTTTCCCAAAGGGACAGGGATAGAGAGAAATGGTCGGATGCGAACAATGGGCATTCATCAAACTCCAAAAGCACAGTGCCAGGACTCACATATATCCACCCAGATGTGCACGCCCTAGGTGATGATCCAGCTGAGATACTTGAAAATTTCAACCCACTCTGTGGCAGTTACCATTTATTGGGTATCTTCTGCGTGTTCAAACTCACTCTATAGTGAGTGTAAAATATACATTCTCATTTACTATAATCTACACAAGAGTTCTCATAGACATAGGTGGTTTTATCCTGCCATACAGCTGAGTAGAGCCTGGTAATTCACATAGGCCATGCATGCCACAGTTAGGATCCAAAGTGCGATTCCTTTTGCAGTCCCCTGTGTCCTAAGAACTTTGTTCACCCCAATGTTGAAGAGCCTGTTGGATGAGAACATAGGCCTGAACTTCAGGAACCAGGTCAGTCTGACTTCCTGGTGGGAGGGGTGGACTAAGTTTATAGGAATCAAGGCTCAGCCACCCACCCCTCTGAGAGCCCTGTCTTCAAGTGACAGTTTCTCCATGATGCTTGGTTGGTAGCTATAATTTACTATGCACACACACACAAAAAAAGCTTTTGAGTGTTACTCTAAAACTTCCTTATCATTTACTTTGTTGAAAGTCATTTGCTTACTAGGCACTTCAAATAATGTGGCTGTAGTCAATTGCTTTGGTCCTCTTAAAAATAAAACAAGCTTTTGGATTCTTAAGTGAAATTCACACCCACAAAAGTAGTGTCAAGTGTCAAGTAAGGAAACCTTCATTACGACATTGGGGCATACCAAGGAATCACAACTTGGACCTCTTGTTTGGTCTTGACCGAAAATGTGTGTGTGTGTGTGTGTGTGTGTGTGTGTGTGTGTGTGTGTGTGTATTTCCTCTTTCACATCCCACAGTCTTCTGGCAGAATGCAAGTTTTAACGAAGATAAAGCAATGACGATGGAGGTCAGTCTAGGGAAAGATTTTGCTCACACTGGCTGGAAAACTTCTCCTTCACAGGGAAATTAAAGTTGTTCCTGCTGTATAACCTTTTTGATGAAGGAGAGAATAGTCTGATATCTCATTGTTAATGACTTTTCAATAAAAATAAATGCATTTTGTCTGCATCAGGGGCCAAAGACAGCCAGAATTTTCCACAGTCATTCCATTTCCACTGTGACTAGATGGGGCACAGAGCCCCAAAGACACAGGGCCATCAGTTCAATCTCTTGCAACTAGAAGGAATTGCAATTTGTAGATTCCAGCCCAAATGTAGAAACTTAATTCTACTTCCTTCAGATTAAGCCTAACCTCTCCCAGATTTTCCTGTCATGAACACAACTCTAGCCAATTGTTTATTTCTAGTCTGGGGGAGGAAACAGTTGTTTTTAAGCCATGTGCATGACAGATGTATGGGGAAGAGACAAATGGGATGGAGCTGAGGTTAGATATCAGTGGCCTTCACTGAGGTCTTTATTCAGATGGCACCTTCACCAGAAGGCCTTCCTGGATCCGTTTATGTAAGTACCAACTCCCTCTCCCCACTCACTGCTTCTGGTGCTCCCTTGCTTCATTTTCTCCAAGCATTTCTCACTGCCTAATGTATTATATATTTCACTTATTTGCCTGCACAATCAGAATGTGATCTCCATGAGGGCATGGACTTTTATCTTTTGTTGCTATTGTTGTTCACTGCTGTGTGCCCCATGCATAGTTCAGTGCCTGGCACTTAGTAGATATTCTGTTAACATTTGAATGAATGAATGAAGGAAGGAAGGAATGAGCAAGTAAACAACTGAACCGCTGATTTGGCAAGGCAAACACACTGGGAAAAGCACAGGTAGTTGCAAGAAACTGTGAGTCTCTTGAATCTACATGTTTTAAGCAACAGCAAGGGTAGCAGTGGTAGTTCTTCTGGGCATTAAGGGAACTGGTCCCTGTGCGCCTCTTTCTCTGCCTCACACTCACCAGTTAAGCCATGGAACATAGCTGGGAGCATAAAAAGCATTTACATTAATTTGAAGCTATTTCTTACAGCCCCCAAAAACGTAAAGGTGCAGAAAACAAGCTTCCAATTTACTGAACTTAAAGGATAACAATTTTAGAACAAAATGTAACTTCTAAGAGGAAGATTAGGCTTAAATTATTCTGTCTTGTATATCGAAAAATGTCAACTAAGAGTCATATATTAACAATTTGCACATTCAGGTCCCAAATGGAGGAGTTTGATTTTATTATACAATGAATATGAAATTTAAAAAAAATCCTAAATCCAGGCCAAATCCCCAAAGACCTGATTAGAAACTGTTTTTTATTCATTTTGGGGAGGGGAACAACACACAACCAATTTACTCTTGCCATAAAAACAATCTAATCCTATGAAATTGTAATAAGCTTTTAAAGTTTTACATTTTAACCTTTTCATTTAAGCAGGGCTGCTTCTACCTAATTATGCAGATTTTGTTTGGAAGACTGGAGCAGAAAAGGAAAAAATAATCTCACTTAAATGTTTACTAGATATTGATGAGATTTGGGGTAGATTTTTTTTTTTAAGAAACTGGTTCCATTTTGCCTGCCATATTAATGGGAATGCCATTGAATTGCCTCAGTTTCGTGATTAGGATTTTTTTAAAAAAGCACTAGTTTCCTTTTAATATAGAATATTGAGAGAGCACAAGAATTTTCTTGGAAAATAGGACAGTTATGATCCCAAGTAACAGTACTGAGTCTGAGTTGCAAAGGGCTTGACTGATAGATATTTCAGGGCAAGGATCTTGCTCAGCATCTGGCACATAAATAGGAACATAATAAATATTTGTTGCATTCTGAGCATAGCTAAGTGTCCAGCTCAGGGTTTAATGACTGAATTGATTTTTGAACACCTGACCCCAAAGACTGGCTCTCAGTACGTATAGGGCAAATGGATGGATGCATTTTGTTCAGAAAAGTCCAATGCTATAATCAGAATTTCTAGTGTGCCTCTCTGGCTGTGTATATCCTGTCTGTTACATTTGCTGCTTGACTTTGAAATTGGATTTCCTCCTGTTTTACTGCAGAAAATGCAATTCAAGCCTTTGGCAATGGCTCCGATGTGACTGTGTGGCAGCCAGCCCTCCCAGTACAGACCACCACTGCCACTACCACCACTGCCTTCCGGATCAAGAACAAGCCCCTGGGGCCAGCAGGGTCTGAGAATGAAATTCCCACTCACGTTTTGCCACCGTGTGCAAATTTACAGGTGAGAAATGCGTCCCGATTCCTTGTTAGGGCTCCCTTCCTGGTGTGGGGGAAACACGGGCAGACTCATTTTCCGAAGTGTATGCAGAGATAGATGACAAATGGTGCTCAGGTTTGAGTCTTAAAACTGCATTTTAAACACAGCCAGTGAAGATTGTGATGTGTCTTAGAGTGGAGAGAAAGTCAGACTATGGAACTGACTCTGTCATTTACTGGGAGTGTGGCTTGTTTCTGGCTCTACTTTCTTTACCTATAAAACGAGCGCTCTGGGGAGATGCGTCTCTGAAGTTTTTGTGCGTGGGGTTGTCAAGTTGGCTTGGTTACATATTTATTATGCTGATTCTGTGTTCTCTGCAAAGCAGCGGCATAATAAAATGAAAGGAGCTCTTGAGTTTGACATCACCACATGGCATGGAGTATTTAACTGTCTCTAAAGGTAAACCAGAGACAGTGTTGCTGGTTAACTCCCATGCAGAACGCTTGATGGGCTGGTTCTTCAGAAGCAAAAGCAAGTGCTCTTTGGCAGTAGGAGGAGCCGCGAGGAGGCACAAGCTGCCCTGCAAACTCCCGCATGTGGACACAGTCCAGTGAGAATGGTCAAGAACATTCTTTGGGGTTAATCCAGGTCTGCGAGGGCAGAACCACAGCAAGATAGAAGTGGTGATTTCCTGTCTTCAGTCAAAAGCAGAGTCTTTATCCTGCCTTTTTATTGATTTTTCATAGTAATGAGTACTCAGCTATTTGGCAAGACATTTCTTATTTGTGTGTTCACAGGGTACCCTCACAGTCTTTACCCCTTTGAGTGTTATCCTCCTGACGACTGCAGGAGAGATGCTATCACTCTAGTATTGTAGCTTCTTTGGTTTGAGGACACAGGGGATCAGAGAAGGATCACTCTTGCTCAAGTCTGCAGAGCTAATGCATCACAGAGCCAGCACTGGGAACCCAGGAGCCTCATTCTTTCCATGATTTTTCCTGTATTTTGAGGGCAATGGTGACCACATGGTGACTTCTGCCTCCCGCTATGCTACAGAAGGGGATGTTTGGTGGCCTTTGTGCCAAGCACTGTGCTGTCGCCTCATGCTCATCACTGGAGCACATCGAGGCCCCCAGCCCCCATCAAGGGTCAGCCTCACTAGAATTCTCACAAGATGCCTTCTTTCACCAAATATCACCTTGACCTACAACCCACTTAATTCCCTAGAAAGTGTCGGAAGCTGGTTTTGATTTCCTTGGTATCTTAAGACCCCTCTTCATCTTGGATGTCCTCCATGCCATTCATCTGAGCTTGTGTGTCCTTTGTCCTCCTGGTTCTCCACCCCAGACACACAGTCTCAGAGACACTCACACACACAAAACACTAAGGAGAGGCCGATAAGGAAATGGCACAGCCCAAGGTCAACCAGATGTGCTTCATACTTCTAAAGCATTTCCTGGGCATGTACTCTCTCCAAAGCACTGTGCAGAGAAAGCCAGAGCCAGGAGGAGCTCTGGGAAATACTATGGCATGGCATTGCTCCATCCTGCAGTGAGGCCCTGAGTTTCAGAGCAGGGAAGTGATGTGTTCAGAGTCCTCCAGCGAGTTGAAGGCAGGCCTAGGGCCAGGCAGCGAACAGGGTCTCTTCTCCATCTCCAGCGGGTGCTCTGTACCCTGCTTTCTCCTAGGTCAGCTTTCCAAGCTACTTGGGCCCATTCAGATTCTGGTGTCAGTAAAGACAAGTGGCCAGGTGAGGGGCAGGGTCCTATTATCATAAGGTGATCATAGGAAGCCAGCAGTGGTTTCTGGAAAGAAAAAGCAAGTTCTGGCTACCACAAAACCAGCTTCTTTTCTGCACATGTCTCAGTGCACAGAGGGTGACTGCAGAGGCAGCGTTCAGTGTTCAGCCTGAACTTAATAAACACAGTGTTCAGTGTTTATTAAGTCCCTTCTCTGTTTTAGAAACTTTGTGGAGACAGGCATTCAAAAACAAAAGTTGCCTTGTCAGTAAACTTAGAATACCGGGTGAGATGCAACTTGTCCACATTTTTGGAAGTTAAGAGACAACATCTCAGAATAGTCATCACTGGAAACTCCATGAAATTGGAGTTTCCCACATGAGAGGAGAGGGGTCTGTCAGCCATAGGAGGTGTTCTCTTCCACACCGCCCGCCCCTACCCCACCGCCCAAATCCTAGCTCCTAACTTGAGCTCCCTATGGTACAGTGCAGTACATGGCTTGGCCACATAGATAGCCAAGGTTTTGCCCCTAACACAGATCTGTCCAGACACCTTTCCCTGCAAGGAGGATCTGTACTGCCTCAGGGTTGTCCCAGCAACATCAGGGAACACAGGAGCTCTATTCCCCAGAAACCATGCCTTTCCTTTCCTGTTAGTGATAGGAACTCTGCTTTCTAAACAGAAGGACAAAAGTAAAATTAGGAGTTTGTGACTGCCTGGCCAACATGGTAAAATCCTGTCTCTACTAAAAATACAAAAATTAGCTGGGCATGGTGGTGCACGCCTGTAATCCCAGCTACTAGGGAGGCTGAGGCAAGAGAATCCCTTGAACCCTGGAGGCAGAGGTTGCAGTGAGCCGTGATCATGCCGCTGCACTCTAGCCTGGGTGACAGAGCAAGACTGTGTATCAAAACAAAAACAGAACAAAAAGTAAAGCATGACGTTTATCTCTGGGCTGCTGTTTACTCCTTGGCAGAGGGGGACATGAAGACTTGGGGCTGTCGAGGAACAAAGGGTGGCTCTAACCACACTTCACTTCCCTGTTATACGCACCATCTCCACATGTCCTGGAGCTAAACAGCATTTCACTCCCAGGGAGCCCTTAGGGTTCCATGGAACCTCACTTTGACTCCTAAGGTGATGACCTGCATGAGCCCCTTTTTGCACAAATGAGGCAGGGAATAAGGGATAAGGGCAGGGGAGGCAGCCAAGTCTGTTTCAGACCCTGCTCTTGTCCTCACCAGTATGGTAGCCTCTGAAAGCGTGCTAACCTCTCCAAGCCTCAGCTTCCTCATCTACAAAGCACATATATGGCTTAGCTGCTGGAGTTAGGATTCAGTGGAGCAGAGTGAATGTTCCAGAATGGTGCTTTATGAATGTCACATGCAATTTGGTGTCTGATCCCAAGTCAGTGGCCACTTAGTCCCTTTATAACAGATGGAAGGTGGTGCTGTGCTTCCTTGGGGGCGGGTGTTGGGTGTGTGCTAGGGACATTGGTGGGCGGTTACACTAACAGGTGTGTAGTTTATTTTATTTTTCAAAACCTTCTGTGTGCTTTGCCCTCTGTACTCCTCACAGCAGCCCCGTGAGTCAGGTGTGGCAGACATCCTTGCCTTTTACAAATGGAGCAACTGAGGCAGGGAGAGGTTTGTGACATATCCAGGATCACAGAGTAATTCTGTAGCAGACCAAGATTTCTAACTTTGAGGCCAAGGCACTTTTGCCTTGCTCCATGACCCCTGGACAACTGGGATTCTTTCTATGGATGAAGAACAGACAGCAGGGAAGAAGGAAAGAATAAGAAAGGAGAAGCTGGTTTTAGGAGCACCACACGTCCTAGTTCCTCCTGAGGTTCACTAATGCAAATAAGGGGGACAGAGGCAAAGTTCTGACTTCAGACTGGGTTTCTTTCTTCATGCCTCAATTCCAGGAGACAGTATAGGGGAAGGACTGAAAGTTTGCGAGTAACATTTTTGCAGCTGCTGATTTTCTAGGGTGACCTCTATGAAGAATGGTTGAAAGGATCATCTGTGGCTAGAGGATCGGGGGAATGAGAGAGTGATGAGTGAAGGGCCTTCATCCCGAGAACATGGTCCCTCCAGCTGATTTAGGATTCTTGCCTGGGTGGAGGGCTCCCAGGAGACTCATTCTCCCCATCTGACCCTCCTCTGCCTGCATGGCCGTCTCCAGATGATTTACCATTTGCTGGAGAGGAGGGAGGGGGTCCTAGAAATATCTTAGAATGGCGTTTGTCCCAGCCACATGTGTCATTACTCAGAATAGAACTGACTTTAACCAGCTTGGGATCCATTGGTAACAGATTCAGAGAAAGTCAACTATCTTTGGCAGCTCTAAAGTTCACTTCCCTTGAGAAGCGCCCTCTTGTAATATTTTAAAATATACAATAATATGAGAAAACTCTTGGGGACTTGAGTTTCAGTCTTAACATTTGAGATAGATTTCCCCCTTGGAAGGGAAGAAACACGAATAAACATTTTCGAAAGTCTGCTCTGAAGTGTAATTATCAACAAACCAAACGCAGTTCTGTTTGGGGAACTAGGTGGCTTTGGATGTGGAGAATACAGGACGCATCCATGGTTCCTATGAAAGGCTCTGCTTTAAAAAAGGAAAGTTGATTGATTAGTATAAAATGTTACAGAAATGTCCAAGTGCTAACCCCCTGAGGTGATAAAATACCGGGTTTTGGGTAACCCGCCAAGCTCCCATGTCAGGATTAATTGGCAGTCATATTACTGACAAGCATAGCACAGGCTGTGCCATTGTTGGCCTGTTCCTTCAACTTGTACGAAATGGTCATATGGAAAACAAAGAAACATTAATAATCCTACCAATTACTTCATCTTCCGTGCACTGGAGTGGTCTGGTAGCTGGAAAAAGCTCAGGATATTTAAACCAAATGGACTGTGTATGTGTGTGTGACTTATTTAAAGTAATATCTTTGGAGCATTAGAAAAATTTTCTATTTTGCATCACTGTACACTGACTGCTTAACTCTGGTGGCTTACAGTGAAGACGTCTTAATGTGGTGTTGGTCAACCTCTGATTTCTGTGGTCAAATAGAGTAACAAGGATTGGGAGCTACAGCCTTGGGACTCCGGCCCCCTGAGAAGGTTTCACTGCCTCTATCCCCCTTTGCCCCTGGAAATGCTGTGACAGACCATAGGGCACACGCTCAGCCCCAGGGCGAGCAGGGTAGGTGAGGATAGCTGTGGGCAGTTGGCAGGGGCTCCAGTAAACAGCACTAACCACATTCAAAGTTAGATA